AAATTAAAACTAAAATATCTCTTAACGATGACCAATATATGATTTTTCAATGTATGAGTTAATACATTTTAAGTAATGTTTAAATAAATCCATTAATGCGTTCAAAATTATATAATACTACTTAAGAAAATGAAGGTGACCTGTAAAAATATAATTTGCACTAATAATGTTGAGCCAAATTTTCGTCACAGCATTTTGTCGATAATTCTGGTATTTTGAGATATACTACAGTTTCCAATTGAACGAAGCATTTTGTATCTCTGATGATTGAAAATTACTGTGCAGAGTCTTCAGTGGTATTTTATACAGCATTAATATTACTACGGTATTAGCTATGCTTTTTTTTTATCAATATCTATTATATTAAAAATATTGAATGAACATGTATGTATGAAAAAATCTAAGATTAAGTAAAAAAATTATTATTTCAAAGATATTGTCAATCTAAATAATAAGTTAAAATTAACCATTGCGGTTAAGACATTGGAAGGCGTTGGAAACGTTGGAACAAAGTCCATTAGAGCGAAAAACGCTAATCTAAATGTATATTTTAAGGAATTCAATGGAGAAATTGAGAGGATATGAGAGTAAGAGAAGAAAAAAGATTGATAAATGAATGGAAAAGAGGGGAGGATGGGGTAACGCGTTAAGATACATGAAAGAAGAACGCGAAACTATACGAAGATAAATTAGTTTTTACGTAATTGTTGGCAGTTCATAAGAACTTTAAACTGTGAAAGGGTATGTCAACAAAAACTAACGATGTATCATGTAAGACATGTCAAGCTGCCTTACTGAATTCAAATCTCACTGAATTGAAAATTTCATTCAAGTATTTCTCCAATATACATATGATGCTATGGCTTTTTCCCCCCTCATATATTAAATTAAATATAAAACTTAATTAGTATAGCCAATGATAAAGAGTGTAAGAAGCAAAAGAGAAATTAACATTCCCCCTTTTCCTGTGGAAATGTGGATCCTACAATTTGTAATTTTCTGGTGGTAAAGCAAAGAAACATAAATCAGAACTGTTGAGAAACATCTGTAATGTTTGCAAAATTGCAAGTGCAATGTAAAATTAGATATCAGATTCTAGTTTGTGAAAGTTGTACATATAAGTATGTACATTTATTTTTGTTGAGAATAATAATATTACATTATTTGACATTTTCCTGAAGATTAGAGAATTACGAATTAACCGATTTACAGTTAAACGTGAAATTATTTAATTCAAATCTTATATTTCCTCTCTTCTCTTGCATCATATATGTACATCATCCTATACCACTCATCTTTTCCATGCATTTAGTTATTCCATGCTTTTAATTATTAAATTAAATTATACAATACACATATACTTAATTTACGTACTAAAAACGAATTAAAACACAGACATATTTAATATACATTCAGAATCATGACCTCTACTGAAAACGATCGATGTGACGGTTGTTTCAGAGGGATGGGTGAAAAGCGACGTAACTTTCACGCTGAAAAAATGGGTGGAAGATTTTCGATTGGATCACGCGATACAGATAGCTTGCAGTACCTGTTCGATGGACCGAGATACAGCACCTGTGTCTGTTAAACAAACGTTGAAACCCTTTCTTGTGATATACACATCGCCGTTACCGCAGAAAAACAGGCCAAAGAGGAATTCGAATTGTCTGCCAGAAATGAAGGAGTGCTGCAGAGACGAGCTTTACATTAATTTCAAGGATATCGGTTGGAGTGATTGGATCCTTCATCCAAGCGGATATCACGCGTATTTCTGTCGTGGGTCTTGCTCTTCCGCTGCTTCGTTAACCATCAGTGGATCTGCCTACAACAACGTAATCAGAGTGAGCATCACTTTTTCTGGTCTTCTTTTTTACTCTTGGTGGAAAAAAATATAGCGAGATCAGAAATTAATCAGAAGTCTAAAAAGTTTAATACCGAACAAGATGTATGCAACAAATTAAGAATGCGTTCATTTTTTAAACATGTACTTCTTGATATATTTAATTGATACAACGTAATATGTTATATTTTTTGGAACTCTAATAGGTAAATCAATTATTTTATTATTTATTATTGAGTATTTATACAATAGCGCAAATACTCAAAGAATTAAAATGGAGATACATGTGTACGCTTATTGTTAGGACAAGTGCTGTATTTGTTTCGAAAATGGAAAAATTAAAAAATGTTTATATGACAAAAATATCTATAAATGGAGAGCTAATTTAAAGCAATAAATTTGTCATCTTGTTATGGAACCAACAGGTATTGTAATTATTTTGTTTAAAAATTCACAAACAACTTGAAAGGTAATTTATTGATTTCAAATTATTTGGATTAATAAAAATACATGTATCGAAATTTTTTTGATAAAACAAAAACAAAAACTTCCGGCTGATCTGACGTATTTTATGATCTTATTATTCTTTTCCACTAAATAATCGACAGAAATTATTAATTTATATTTCTTTTATTGTTTCAGAGGTTGTTGACTAAAAATGGTAACACAGTGCGACGTAAAAACGAAATTGTTCCGTGTTGTTCACCTACGCAACTATCACCGATACAATTGCTCTACGTTGATTCCAACAATACCATCACGCAAAAGACTCTGCCAAACATGGTAGTCGAAGCCTGCGGATGCATGTGATTCACGAAAATCATCCAAATTCTCCCATAAATATTCTTTGTTGTATTGACAGATTCGAATTCAAACTTGTATCGTACCTGTACCTATCGTTTCTAAAGCAACGAGAGTTTGATTCCTATTATCATACAAATAAGTTCCTTGTGAATAAACTTGCCGCATTCAGTGTCTCTATATTCTGAAGTTCAGGGATGAAAGCATAAACTTCAACTCTGAATTTCAGGATCGAAACAACCTTAACTCTAGAAAAAATAAAGAAGGTAAAAGATATAGAAGAATTAATGCGAAATCAAACGATTTTAAATGTTGTACAATGTAATGCATGTGTCCATTCTAGAAGCGGTGGTATTTTAAAGATTTTAAGATCACCTATTATATATATAATAAATATATTATATTATAATAAAATATTATATATATATATATATATATATATATATATATAATAAAATTTATAGTTCTACTTATTAGTAGAGTAGTAAAGATTTTAAAATCACCTATTATATATATAATAAATATATTATATTATAATAAATATATTATATATATATATAATAAAATTTATATTTCTACTTGAAAGAAAGAGATCTTAAAATATTTAGAACGCCATCAATTTTGAAGTAGACACTGGATGGATTATAAGAAACTATTTAATTGTGTCTAATAAAATAATTTTGGTATAAAATTGTCGAATGTATACCGTTTCGTCAAAACACTATGAAACGCAATGTTCTGACAGTTAAAGATCCAATCGACCTTCGTAATTTCATAGTCGTGACTGGTTTGATGGTTCGCAGCGACTAGGAAACCTAGATTCAATAATCATAAATTCTGTCAGAACATAGAATTGAAGATGAATCTACATGTAGAGAATATATGTCTATTTACATTATGAATATATTATGTGTATTGTACAGAACACTTTGAAATTTCATTAACACGACTGAGACATGATTGGCATGTTTGAATGGCATGAAAATCTAAAGATAGAAATTAAATTAGGAAAATTTGAGAACAGAAGGTATAGAATATTTATTACGAGCATAGACTTACTAGTAGTAGAGGTCAGTAAAATACGAGACTTGAACAGTTTAATTATTCATTGCATCTCTAAATTATAAAATTTAAATTATCTTTAACACTAATTACATGTTATACTGCCACGCTGTACACTTTTTTTACCAAATCACGATGCAAGTGTTTTATTACTAGATTGCGAATTTCTATATAAATTTTACTTTGATGAAACATTTGTTCACTTATTAAATATCATGGAAACACATTACATTTTAGATATTTTGGATATTCGTATTTTTGCACTTTAAAATTTATAATTTATAAATGCATAAAAGTCCGCAATCTATTTATTATGGTGGTAGCGAAACTTCAAAAAATTTCATATGACAAAAATAATACATTTTTTGATACATTTCTACGGTTCGAATACTTTCGTGAACCGCTATACATAATGTTATACATCCTTATATACACACATATATGCAAAAATAGGCATTTTCCGTGTGAGAATAGTGCTTGTTAATATGTTAAATAGAATGTTGTGTAATATGCCGATCAGAGCGAACATTATTTACATGTTAAGTCGTGTGAATGATCGAAACAGTATTCATTCTCTAGCTCTATTTACCGATAAAAAGCGTACGCGTAGCGTGCGTTTAAATTAATTATTCCATATTTAACCCAAGATAATTGTGCAATCATGTAAATTGATATTTTACTCTATTTATTAATAATCAATTATATATAACAGACCAAAAAAAAAAAAAAAATCGTCGAAGCGAGTTGTAAAGTTCTGTAGCTGATTTAGACGACAAGTTTAATATGCTTTCTTTTGAGAAAGCAAAGGTGATATGGTCGTTCTTATTCATCTTTGTATTTACAGAGAGCAAAAAGTAATCTGATCAATGAAGATTATGATTCATTGATAATTAAATAATTATTAATATGTATAATTTTATATGTTAATAATAATAAATATATATAATATATAATGACAATTAATAATTATTAAATAATCAGTCATCATTGATTAATGTACAATAATCAAGCTTCAATGTCATATGTATAATAGAAGTGTATGTGTGTAAAAAACAATATAATAATAAAATACGTATATAATATATATAATAAGTTAGTTAATTATAAGGTTACAATATACACTGGTTGGAATTGAAATTAAATTTTGGTAAAATTATAAATAACAGTTTTATAAATAATATTATACATAACATATTTATTATAAATAACTTAGCATAGTATGTATTATTTAAATGTTTTTATGCTGTTATTTCTTTAATTGCTGAAAATTATATGTAATAATTATTTGGTTAAATCTTACCTTGTTGATTTAACCTTGTTGAGTTGAAGCCAAAAATGCACGTTTTGTCTCAAAAATTCAAAACACAAACATGAATCTAATAAATATTGATTTAAATTTTTATCTGAGATGTTCTGCATGATTCTCGTGGATGATACTTTCTTCTTTACAGGCAAGGTGCGTTTCCTTTCCGCCATTCTTCCCGCTTAAAAATCGATCATGAGAAATATTGATTGTATCGATGTGATATGTTCGAGAATCGTAGGAAGTGAATTGCGTATTTCACCGCTGTAATCTTTAATTGGCGCTCGTCTACTGGAAGTTTAAATAAATATATTGCGAAATTTAATAAGAAACTATTAACTATTTATAACTATTTATAATTATTTATTTTAATTTATGTATATTATGTACAAGATCTTCATGCGTTTGCTTGATTCTTAACAATTGAGATTACAATAGATTCCGTTATTTTATTTTCTTGTTTTTCCATGTAATCAATGTCGCCGTTGTTAAACTCGTTTTAAAAATACGCGCGCGCGCCACCACATTAGACCTGAAGTTGTGGCACAAAAAATACATCGTATGCTACGTCTATTCATATACTTCGTTTGTGCTTTAACAAACAAACTTTGGTCAATAAATTTGTATTTTCTTAGTTTCTATGGGAATTCCTTAGTCTCATTATGGCTAATTTGTTAAGTAAATCAATCAAATTATTCACAAAATTTGTTTGATTGAAATTGAAGAATTAATTAGAGATGTTCTGATCTAACCTAATCTTGCTGAATCGATAATGTTGGAAGTGACGCAAAGATGGCAAGAAAATTTTGACACAGAAAGAGAAATAAACACAGCTTTATATAAATAGACTTATCATTATTAACGAGGTGTCGTCCGCGGTTTTTAGGTGTGATATATACAATCTTTAATTAGCCTAAATCTCATTTATGGAACAAGATATTAAACACGATCGACGATATAAATACGACATACTTAAAAGCTGAAAATGTACGCAATGTCTTGAATCAATGTGTGGTTAAGCCCATTTACGGGCCTAATTTTATAGTGTGGAAATAAAAAAAAAATACTGTATTTTCATGATGTTGTCAGAAGTTGACGTATTCATTAGTAATTATACTCTTGTTGATCCTGATATATATCAGCTTTGGGTTGATGGTCATTCATGTAAGTTTGTCAAATAAAATTTTATAGAAATGGAACTCCTGAATGGAACACCTGCTTAGATTGTTTAGTATGAATTCACATCATTCTTTTCTTACCCATCCAGCAAGCGAAGCAGTGAATATCTTGCATCAACGAGGAATATGTCAAGAAACAAGTGCCCCGATTGAGTTAATAGCGTCAGATATTCTCGATCATTATCGGACTTATGCTCTCTTGGAAAAATTACTTCACACGCCTACTAAATTAGCGAGCGAACAGCTCGCATTTCAAATAGAACCGCAAACTAGTCAAATGCTTATCGAAATGTAAGCGAATTCTTTTGTTGTCAATATTATTCATCTGCACGCACATCTCTTCCTAAATTTATATCTTTTCGATTATGATTCGTAGGTATTACGAATTTGACGATGTCGTTATTAGAGAATTATTAGGCAAAAAGTTAACGTCAAAGAGTAGAAAAGATATGGATGAAGTATCAGAGAAAACAGGTATTACATTAAAGAGTTGTCGCCGGCAATATGATAATGTGAAAAGAGTATTCAAAGTCGTAGAAGATTTACCAGGTTCTTTGGCTGCTAATATCGAACAGCATTTTTTACTCTCTGAAGATCTTGCTAAGTAAGAATACAAAATTATTCTTTTATGTTACCTTTATGTGTATATATAAAAGTTAATTTTAATATTTACAAACTATTAGGCGATACGCTGCTGTAGTATTCATAGCATGTCTTCGATTCGAGATGAACAAGAGAAAACTTCAGTTCTTAACATTTCCTGACTTATACCATTGTGCCAACAGTATGATGTCGTCATGGACATATCGTTGTGTTGGATCAGAATATTTTGACACTGATTTGGATAGAGAATTTCTATTGGAATTAGCAGAGTGCAGAGTGCTTTTAGAAAATGACAAACATCACAAACAGTAAGATTTTCTTTGTATACATTTCTTGAGTATACAGGAAATACAGATATCAAATTATAACATTATTGTACATGGTTTTCACTATATTTCTTTATAGTTTGGTATGTATCAAGCTGAGACCTATGCTTTTAGAACGTTCATATCAAGAAATAGATACAAATTTTCGTTCTTATACAAGAGCTATCTTAGGAATAGGATGTAACCTTCATCGTTCCAGAGATTTAAGATTTTTCTTCTTAGAACTAGTAGAAAGATGTATAGAACCATGGCGTCAAATAAACTGGACACACAGTGATCTCAGAAATTTTCTGTCAGTTTACACTCAATGTGCACTGGATATGGATGTACTTAGGTAGAAATCAAATATATTACTATATTTAAATATAAATTATTACTATATTTAAATTTTATATATTTATATAAAAAAAAATATTTTAATATAATTTCATCTACTTTGAATATTTAATTTATCAGGGATAATGAATTGAGAGATGCATTTGAGCGTTATATGACTGTTGTTACATGTTGTTTATTGCGTATGTATCATACATGACTATTAACAGATGAAGAAAATGAAATACAAAAAATTAACGCAATTGGGAATGATGACAAATAGAGTGAATGATGACAATAGAGCATGAAACAAATAGAGAAAATTGTAATTATATTGGAATTTATTAAGTTTTCATAATAAATGATTAATAAACAAATGCGGCACATTTATTTGTTCATTTCATACACGCAAAGAATTTACAATTTTATCTATTTATTTTTTATACATTGGAAAGTTGTTTGAGAACAATTTAAAATAAAAGATTAATTCATAATAGAATTTATTGATATGGCAGTATTTAAATAATTTTATTTTCATGAATAAAGAAGAATATTCTGATACTTATCCAAGCAATAATGTCAATTCGTCTCAATAAATAGTTACACTATTTCGAATCAACATATATAACTGCACAAGCTTGCACGCATTGAAGTCATATATTCACATACATACACACGTCACTTGATTATATTTACATCTACAGATGTGCATACAAGTACTGTGGATTGAATTTCTTTTCCATCGATAAGAACAAATTTTTACTAATTATCTTATTATTGTTAAACTTTGTACTTACTTTCTACCTCATGTGAAACTTATGGGAGGTCATAAAGGGATATAAAGGTCATATGAAACTCAAGGGAGAAACAAAGAGGAAGTTCTAATTTTACCTAAAGATTTATATAAATAGTTACTCCAACCCTAGTACTTTATTTACTGCGAACACAATATCACTCATTTGCGGCAGGGCCGCGATTTCTAATGTTTTGGTATAAGGCATAGGCGTATCAACACCAGTGACGCGAGTTACCGGTGCGTCGAGATGATAAAATGCTTCACCTAAAAACAAAGGTGAAATATAAAAAAGAGCAAGTAATTAAGTTATACATTCACTGAATTAAGAAAACTTACTTTCTGAAATTCTAGCACTAATCTCCGCTCCAATGCCACAGTGTGGCCAGCCTTGTTCCACAGTTAAACAATGATTTGTTTTTACTATTGATTGCACAATGGTGTTTATATCTAATGGTCTTAAAGATCTAAGATTTATTACTTCTGCTTCTATTCCTTTTCCCGCAAGCTCATTTGCTGCTTCAAGAGCTTGCTCAACTGCTTTGGAATGTGCCACTAATGTAACATGTTTACCAACACGTTCAATCTTTGCTTTACCAATTGGTAGAAGAAAGTCTTTTGATAAAGCCTCATCAGACATAGGATACTGAACACCATATAATATTTCATTTTCTAATACAACTACTGGATCTGGATCTCGGATGGCAGCTTTCAATAATCCTTTTGCATCTTCGCTATTATAAGGTGATACTACTTTTAAACCAGGACAATGACTATACCAAGCACCAAAACATTGAGAATGTTGTGCCCCTACTCCAGCTGCTGCACCATTGGGTCCACGAAAAACAATTGGTACATTTACTCTTCCAGCAGACATGTAAAACGTTTTAGCAGCAGAATTAATAATTTGATCAATAGCTTGCATAGAGAAATTGAATGTCATAAATTCACATACAGGACGTAAGCCAGCCTAAAACATTTTAAAAAAAGCAAGAACTGTTAATTAAGAAAACAAAAAGATTATGAATTTTCAAGAAAATGAAAGACATATACGTAGGAAGTTAATAACGTACCATAGCTGCTCCAACAGCTATACCAGCAAATCCGGCTTCGGTAATAGGAGTATCAATAACACGTTTATCTCCATATTTTTTCCAAAGGCCCCTGGACACTTTATAAGCTCCATCGTACAATGCTACTTCTTCACCGAGCAAAAACACCTTTTCATCTCTTTCCATTTCTTCATCCAGGGCTGAATTTAGAGCATCCCGAACTGTCATCTGCATTAAGATTGTGAGATTGGCAACAACAAAAAAAATTAAAGTCCAATGTTACCTTTTTTCGATAGCAATCGAATCATTATGAACAACGTATAGTACGAATTTTTATCCTAATCTCAAATGTCTGTCACAATCGAATAATTGGTATCGGGAATAGATGACCTTTATTGTCCTTCAACATGTAAGAATCAGTTCATTTAATTTGTTAAATGAACAGTATCAACTGAACGAAATCTATCAAACAAAAGAAACGAAGAACTTCACGAGGGGTATTTTTATTAAGCGACAAGAAGCGACTACACGGGAATACAATCTTGTCAAAGTAAGAATAGGTTATGCCCGAACAAGTGACAACGAAAAATATTTAAACAATGATGATTTTTACCTGCTGTGCGCCACTCCATTTTGATGTTGAAAATGAACGTCGAACAACTCTGCTCACTGCTGTCTAAAAACAACGAATAACGAAAAGTGAATCTTTCATCTTTCTTTTTCCACACTATCAATGTCATATATTCTTTAAGATTTAAACTCGATGCTGCTGTTTGCTCGAATATATATTTACCGAAAACATTGTAAGTCGTTAATTGTTCAATGGTCTTGAAATTTTTAGTTGTTTCGATCAATCAGTTTCGAGCAATCGGTTTCAATTGCTCTTAGTCGTCGTTCACGTGCGTCGCCAGGGCCTCTGGTTCGTGATTTCGTTCTTTGCCATAGACCGAAATGCGGAACGGCACCAGAGTGATTCAAGGTCAGTAGGCGAACGCTTATGAAACGCTTCTACTCTGATTTACATCTTTACGCTATCATTTCTAATAAATGATCGAGAGACAGATTATTGATCGTCCACTCTTGGGCTTTTTCAAACATTTCCATTACGTCTCCATTCGTTTGACATGGAGGTTTACTAAATTATACACAAAATACGTAATATATTATTCATAACGACGATGACGAAAATTAGAAAGCGCCACTTTTTCTAGCCAATGATAGAGTCACTAGAGTTGATAATTTAACCAATCACGGTGAGATTTAATAAGTAGCTTTTTTTTTTTTTAAATTAACGAGCTTAACTCTCACACACAGAGTACAATGAATGCACGTGGCACAGTAACGTAACACACAGTAAAGAAGATCCAACGAAGAAGCTATCGGAAGCATTCATATATAAAGGGGTTAATTTATTTATCTTATTTTAATTTCAGGCTCTTGGATTTGATTACATTTAAAACAGTAATCACATTTGTATATACTTATATGAAACTTTATTTTCATTAAATTCTTAGAAGTATATCTGAAACAATACTTACATATATACTTACACGAGAAAGAAAAACAACGATATTATCTACTAATATTTTGTAGCTATTTATTGTCGATCTCGATTATGTAAGAGAAAGAAAATAGAGAAACACAAGGAAAAAGAGTTAGTAACCGGTCATCAAAAACTGCATTGTACTGTTTATGCGCCTGCATACATGTACACGTATGCGTGTTATCTATATTGTACATTATACAATGATGAAACAAGATTATAGGAATTCAGACGACAACAGTTTTTGTTAATGATGGCGATGTGAATCAATATCATGATTTGAAAAAAAAAAAACAAAAATACATATAAAAAAGATATTGAAGTTATCACGAAAATATATACGGATGATATGGGTTGGATATATCGATTGATAAGGAATTAAATTAAGGTGATACGATCGATGATGTATTTGAACGAAAACGAAATTGTCTTACGAATCCTTAGATCAAGGAGACAAAGTACCAACATTAGCATATTGTTTATTTACAAAAAAGTATTCGCTCATGGTACAATGACAATGCTATGTGAAAATGCGTGTTGCGTGCGTGCATGAGGATTGCCTTTATAGAAAATGCATACCTTGTTAACAATTATACAAGAGCATTGTATGCAAAGACATTTGCATCGTGATTTATGTTTAGAATCTTGTTTCGAGTATACGTACAGAATTGCCAATAAACGGGCGAAAAGAATGCACGAATGGAACGTAATACATGAACGAATGACAATGAAACATCTCCGTGCATCGATATCTCGAGAAGGAAATTCAGTTTGGGTATACGTTCTAGACCGTAATAGCGTTTTTTCTTCCTTTGTTGGACTTTTTATTAATGAGAGAACAACAATTGCATAGAAGTTTAATCGAGTAAAACACTAGCTAGAGTAAAAGACCTTCTGTTTAGTTTGTAATTAAAATTATGACAACGCAATCGAGATCAAGTAAGATAAGATAAGAGAACAAAGAGAAGGCCCAAAAAATATGGGACTTGAATGTTTTTATATTAATTGTAAAGTATTTGTTTCTTTCTGTGTATTTGTATTCGTGTGTGTATGTACGTGTATATACGCGTGTTTATGTGTTTGCGCGCACGAATGTGCAGCTGTAAGAAGGCATAAAATCAAACATCAAATCAAAGAAAGATAATAAATAAATAAATAAGTAAATAAATAAATAAATAAATGAATGAATGAATGAATAGACAAATAAATAAAGTGAGGTCGTAGAGAGAAATATCGTGACTGGTGTAAGAGTACTGCCGTCGGAGCAAAAAGAGATTCTTTCTTGATCATCCTAGTCTAATTAGCCGTAGATTATAGAAGAATCGTCGATAGTAAGAATGATAATGATCATAATAATTGTAGTACCGTTAGCATCGGCTGTAAGTACACTACAACGATTTAACTTCAATTTTGATAACGTCCACTACTCTCGGTTGTACGTTTTGTTCTTCCAATGTGCCCGAATATTCCGAGATAAATGCCCGTCTCGTTGCGCATTTTGTCATCGAAAAATATCCTGATATGATGCTTCTCTGATTAAATTGTAGACTCAATTCGTTCGATGGCATCGAATCGTTTAATCGTTTTTCGCGCGTTTTCGAACGAGAACGTCGATCGTTGTGTACCCGCGACAAACAATCGCAACGAAAGGAAGCAAACCACATTGCAAAGGAGGAACCGAATTTCCCAGTGATCTCCACCGTTATTTAATCTAGAATATAACGTACGTAATAATTTTATTGGAGCTTGTCAAATTGCTCCGTACCAATTAATCGCAAAAACGCGTAACAATCTATGCGTACAGATGCGTGTATATACCGAGAGTACGAAAGGCATCTGTGATAAGAAATAACTTGTTGACGCGTGAACACGCGTCGAGAGATTCTGTCGAAAGAATAATCTAGGAAATTGTTTTTTTTCTTTTCTTTTCTTCTTTTATAAGAATCGAATCGAACAATAGAGTTTCTTTCTGGCTAATCAAACGACACGGCGTTGCGTTGAAGCGCGCGAACGCGGGCGCAGGCGCAGGCGTAAATGCGCGCGCAACTACAAATGCATGCGCAGGCGCAGTAGCGAACGCGGGCCCGGGTCCGGCGCACGTGTCGCACAATTGGACGCGTGAACATCATTTCAACGCGCTAATTTACACGATATAAAAATTTTCCTTTCCTCTGTATCTTTCCCCCCCCCCCTCCCCCTTCTAATATATATACAAATAAACGGCTACCGTTAACTCTTTTCGAATGCAGCACGCATTCTCTTCTCGAACAAACTTCGTCCGTCAACTCGTTTCTCTATTTAATGACAAGCGTTTGTTTCCTCGTGCGTCGAATGGGAACAAAACGATTAAACGTACGGTGTATGCATTTGTTTGTTTTCACGCACACTGAGATGGCCAAAGTACACGTCGATCGGAAGACACATCGAAATCTTTTTATACTTTTGGCATATTATCTTTATTTGTTCGTACGTTCGTACGTTCGTTTGTTTCGTTCGTTTTCTTCGACGATCCGGTGTGTTCCTTATTTCTTATGTAGGCTGAAATTTTCCGTGACGTTTATGGTATATACTTATTACACGGACAATTTGAGGTAGACAAGAAATTCGAAGGGCTCGGCGGTCAATCACGGTGTTACTATACCAATCGTTAAAAAAAAAAAAAAAAAAATTATCGATCATTTCCGTCGAATTATCGATCCATTCACGTTGATGTGAGAAGAAACAAGCCGTGTAACAAATCATTATCACACATTGATTGAACAGTTCTGAATCGTAGTAACGCGAATTCGTACCAAAAAATAAGATAGCCTTCGTTGACAAATCTTCGTTTTTAGACATTGAAACAATGTTTATACACACACACACACA